ATATATATATATATATATATATATATATAAGCCCATCTCCTTAAGTCTTAATTGACAGACGTTAGAGTATGCTTACGTGACATGCTAACTCACAATAAATCATTAATATAATAACATATATAATTTAATTTAAAAAAAAATCTATCTTGTTAATGAAGAGGAAGCGACAAAGGCCATAGCGGTGGATGAAGGCAGAGAGACATAGATAGGAGAGGCTGGAGGCGGAGGTGAGAGAGAGTCGGGCCATCACATTGTAAGCGTAATGAGTGGGGGCGCAGGAGAGGACGAAGTGAGAGGCGGTGGGGATGAAGATGCCTAGAAGGAGGAAGAGGGACCAAGAGACTATTATATGCCTAGTGACAAACTGGTCGACGCACATCCATCTACAGCATGATCGGAAGCTCCTAAGCTTGTCGTCAATGCGAGAGGCTACATGCATCCAATGCCCTACTAGACACCAGTTGCTTGGTGATGTTGCTTGTGGTCACTTCCACAACAACACCTCCTCTCGCCATTGATGATGATCTTATTTTTTTTAATTTAAATTATATATTATTATATTAATAGTTTATTGTAAGTCAGCATGTACGTAATTATATTCTAACATTTGTTAACTCAAACTTGACAAGAGAGGCTTATATCTATGTTTTTGAAAATATAAGTGTTATTTTAGATACGAACAAAATCATAAGAGCTTAAGTTGTCCATGACCAAAACTATACGAATAAAAATATATTTTTTAAAAAACTTAAATTATATGTCATTATATTAATAGTTTATTATAAGTCAGTATGCCACATAGATAGACTCTAACGTTTGTTAACTCAGATTTGATGGGATGAGCTTATATACTATATTTTTGAAGATGCATATATTATTTTAAATATGAATAAACTGTACGAGCTTAAGTAATCTATAACCAAAATCACAAGAGTTAAAATGGACCTTAACCCTTAATTCTATCAAACTAAGATAAAATAATCTGACCTATCTACCTTGTTTAGATTATAATACTCTATATAAAACTTTGATTTAAGTAATTTTTTATTAGAAACTAGACTCTTATATCTTTCTATCAATATCTAATTTGAATAATTTTAAATATAAATATCAATCAAAATGTTAATTTTAAGTGATCTCTTAAATCCTAGTAAATAAAAATAAGTTGATTCTGACCTATATGTATTTAATTATTTATAACTTTTTTAGATAATTCTAATTTTATGTAAAACTTAAT